TAACAAAGAGAGAAAATAATAAAAAAAACAAATCAAAAATAAACAGAAAGCAAACAAGCTTCATATATGTACATATATATGTATATATACACACAGATCCATATACATATACCATTTTATATTCAAACAAACAACTTTGTTGTATAAAGACGTTTGTTATTGAAAATGACAAAACAGATTCACTCATACATTCATCCAACATCTAGAATATTACGTCTACAATATAAAGGGTGGAACAAAATTTATATGTACTAAATTTTAATTTCGCGCCATTTATAGGAAGAAATTTGTATGGGAATTTTTACTTAAGGATAGTCAAAGGATTGTGATCTTAAACTATCATGGAATTTAAATATGTCGATCGCAGAATAGAAGGATAATTGATTTGTTCGAATATCACTGATATGGTACTGTAAAACTTGAAATCAGAAAGGATTTTTCGATTCCAGATAAACGAGATAGACCACAGATGTCACATGCAGAGTGGTTAAGATCATATGGCCAAAAAATAACAGTTAATTGTGAGCGAATCTATAAAATCTAGTAGTGTTTGGACTAACGTAGTGTTCGGACTAAATGTCAAGAGACAAACTTTCTCAAATCCAGTCTTATGCAAAGTTGTTGTTCTCATCTTCCACAATCCGGCCCAATAAAGATTGATTCGAATTAGCCTGAGACTTATTTGTAGGTTAGATTAGGTGAGCAGGTTGTCCACATGTTTCCAATACAGGGGACACAAGTGTTTCATCACCTTAATCGTTCTGTGATAACTGTAAAGAAAGTGTCTGCTTATTAGTGCACTTCGACCTATATTTTCCGTATCGTTAAGAGCTAAAACTTTAATCTGCTAGGTCCGGGTTGTGACAGACAAAGTGAGTGACATCCTCTTCTTCCTCTTTATCATGACAGCTCCTGCAGAACTCATTTCTATAGAGATTCAAACTTCTAGCATGAAGCCCAAAGTGTCAATGCCCAGTAACCACTGCAACTATATTTCGTCGTTCCCATTACAATAGGATATTCGTTCAAGAACAGCCCAAGTCTAAGCCGTCCAAAGATTGTCAACTAAGAGACAGCTGTATTAACTAAACGTTTTTTTCCCAGGGAATAACTGAGCTCTCGGAAAGTTTAACTAGGCTTGTGATCGTAATAAGTTGAATGCCGAGCACATGATTTTCGCCATTCCCTTGTTAGTTAAGTTCTACTTTCTGCAAGAGAGTCCACAAAGCAACTATCCGCTGATGACCTGGAATCCAGTGCAATACTATAACGAAATGTGTAACATTCTCGTTAAGAAATGTCAGTCATTCTAGAACCAAGTTTTATGTTGTGTAAACAACATTGATTCGGACATCAACTCCGTATACCCGATAGAACTTAAGACAATTTGTAGCCTGCTCTATGGCTGATAATTAAACTTACGCCATACTTTGTTTTAGAGCAACAAGTGCAAATCCTTACAACCCATCACGGAAGATCGTTTCCATGTCATTTAGTTTCTACTGCTTTGACACAGAAAAGTATCTGTCAATTAATGGTTTTGAGATGCAATAATCAATATTATCTAATAGTTACTCCGGCTACTTAGAATGGCCGTATGTCCGACGTGATTTATATACCATACTCCATTGTCCATGAGTCTAATTACAGAGTTGAGATCAACTTCTTGAGCTATTCGATCAATAGGTAACCAGTTCATAATGACAAAGCAACCAGTTTATCGGCTGTAAAATGAATATCAAAAACTATTAAGAAACTTTTATTATACTTCCTCCATTAATTTGCGAATGAGGTTCAAAATTTGTAATTGAAATTTAATCCAGTTCCATCAGTCCGAATATGGCAAACATTATGTGAAGAATCAATATTAAATATGAAAATTCAAAGTTAAATATTTCGACACCAGATAACAGTGCAATATTATTTTCTAAATTTACAAATAAAACTCAATGATGTTGCTCCTTAATTTTGTCTTACTGTATTCTTTCATATATGTATATTCATTTAAAATATTATATCCATATTTACTCAACTAACTGTGTGCTTTATAAAACAAAAGAATATAATAAAACAATAGAGATTTATATTGTATATCACAATAATCTTAGCAAATGTCTGTTAATACTAACATATAGAAAAATATCCTTTTTTATAATACTTCTTTGTTTTTAAAGCAAATTATAGCATGCAATTGTTAAGTGGCAAACTTATATAAAAAGGGTTATTCAGCAGATGATGTTATTTTATTAGATAAACAAGATATGAATGAACAAGATAAATGATTAGTTTATCAGTTAATACTGCGTATAATAAAATAAATATGTATCTAAATTCTAAGCAATTTACTATAGTCATTGATAAAGCTAAAAAGCATCTTAAAAAAAACCTAGAACATTATAATTATTCTATGCATATTAAATAAAACGAATTAATTAAATCTTTTTTAATAAATACTTTATAATATTGTAGTATTGTTATGAAACTAGAATGCTATGTACAATTTTACTTTTTATAATATTTTTTTTACAAAATAATAAACTGTACCGTCCAGACATTTAAGGAATTGATGAGTTTCTTTACAAAATTGTAAACCTGTTGTCAATTGTTACCTTTTTAATGAAAATAGTAGTACAGTTATTGTTTTGCAGTCTTTGTTATTTTGTAAAACGTGTTAATATTTTTTTACTTAACAGAAAACAATGTTTTTACATTTATTTATTTAGGTCTAGTAAAGCAGGTGATAAAATAAGGTCTTAAAAAAACAACTGATAAGTCGTTGGTCTTTAGTTTATACCAAAACAAAATAACACAAACACTGATTAGAAGGATATTGACTGCAATAGCAAAAAAAAAAATAATATAAATATTTCAATATGATACCTAAACAAATAAAATGATTATAACACTTTACAAATTAATAAATATTACATCATAACCAATAACAATTAAAAAACAAAACAAACAAAAAAACTAGAAAAAATTAACAGTTTGTTACTGAGTGAAATAAAAAGTCGTAAATAATAATAATAATAATAATTGTTACAATGATACTAGTATTTGTTTAATGAAACAGCAAACAAAATACTACAACCCTCAGTGTATATTTATTACAAAACACATAAATTATCAGTTACACCATTTCTTATTGTGAAATATTGATAATAATAATAATATTAAAATATTGTAATGAATATTTAGCAAAATAATAAGAAAAATTAAATTTATTATGGTTTTTATAATTGAAATAGGAAAATTAACTCCCACAAAAATTAATGGGAAAAACTGTCAATTAATTTTGGAATTTAATACATTGAGCAATTTTGTTATAATATACAACAGTTCCGCTATTAATTATTTAAATGAAAACAATTTCTTATTATATAATAAATATATTATATAAACAAATGACATCAATACTAAAATTAGAAAACTGGTTAAAAAAAATAAAATTTTTACTGTAAATTTTGTAAATAAATATATTTTTACATAAATATTTAATTTTATATTAATTGGCTTTGGAATTTTTTATTTTTAGAAAAATTTTCGATAAATTTTATACTTATATAAAGAATATAAAATATTTATTTATATTTTTTATATGAAAAATGATGTGAAGTGAGGGGAAGTTACTTAAAGAAATATGAAAAAAAGTTCAAAATTCATTGAAAAAGACTTTAGTATGTATAGACTTAACTCTCGCTATATTAATACCTTATCGGATGTTAGTTAAATTCCTTCTGAGTTGTTAAATTTTGTTTAAATTCAATTCCTTACAAATTGAAGTAACAAATTTTCAACTATTTTATACAAATTCTAATTCCATTAAAAATATAAATATAACGATTTTAAAGAATAATATACTAAAATCTTTTCAGTCGGATTCAAAATTTGAATATTGCATTTAAATAATTTATTGGCCAGCGAAAAAAGTTTAAAGACCAATATTTAGAGACATTATTCCATGAAGATTGTTCTCAAACTAAACAAGAATTTAAATTCAAAAGGGTATCGTATGGTAGATAGAAGTCAAAAGACTTTGAAAGACATTCTTGCGTTAACCAGATGCTTTAGAAAGAAACAACTCCACTCAGAGACCATAAGGTCCATTGTGATTCGCATCGTAAAGTGTGAAGATCCAGAGAGAGAAATAAAACATTTGGAAAACTAAAAAGGACAAAAGTATAGAGGAGAGTGGAATAAAAACAGCCCAATTCCCAAGGAGTTTTAACCTGGAAGTTTTAACGAATCGATTCCCTAAGAAAAAATTGTGAGAGTATCTGAGTCTCCCTTTATAAGCCAGTTCAAGAAATTACTAATTCTCTTCCTAAAATCTAGTAGACTGCCAGGACTGATTCCCGCTAGTTAAAACCATTTCCCCAAGTTTAAACTATTTCCATTGAGCACTTAAACTAACATAAAAGTTAACTAATTGCTAATCGTACACCTAAAGATTGGCTCTTATAGGTACAAAAATATATAATGTTAATTTAATATTCATGGAAAAGCAGACAGACATCCAACAAAATTTTCATTTTATTAATTCAACATTAATTTTATACCTATGTTGTTGTACATTTTGTGTAAAAAAAAGCATTTATTAAGTAGATGAAATAAATTGAGGGAATAACTGACAGACTAGCAGTCAGTCGCACAACAAATTTGTCATTTTCTCAAGTGATATGACAAACGAGACAAGTAATGAGGCAGATATTTTAAAGTAAACTTATTAACAGTTTAATTGTACTATAAAAATTTGCTCCAAATAATTTTTGAATATGAGGATATTTCAATTATTTAAATAGAATACTTTAAGTAGGGTACATGTTTTTATATAAGACCTTTGTATTATCAATTTACTAAACAAAATAAACAACTTCAACAAATCTAATAATCTACAACAAAAAATAAATACTTAGTTTTATATAAATATAAAAACAAAACTAAAAACGTAATAAATAAATAGGAAAAAAAATTTTAATAAAACCTAAATAAATACTCACCAAAATCCATAAATTGTTTTATAGAGAGCGGTGATGGATTAAACTGTGAGTAAATGTCGAGCATTTTTGGTATTTTGGAGTAACGCACTGGAAATAACCGCATCTTGAGGCTTTTTGTGTTTTATGGACGTTTAAAATTTAAATCAATGATTCAACCTTAAAAAGGTTGTTTGGTCTCTGGTGCTGCTGTTTTTTTTTTTTTTTTTTTTTTTTGGAGTGAGATGTAATAAAAACTTTTTTAATTGAATTTTATTTTTTTATTTTTATTCTATTTTCTCCAGCCTACAAAAGAAAAACTATTTTATAATAAAATAAAAAACAAAGCAAATTGTTGCAGACGGACGATAACAACGACGTCTTTACACTCTAACCGACCGTTTGATTCTATGAGCGATGAGGTATATAAACGACCTTCTTATTAAACGTTTTTGGTTCTATTGAGTTTTTGTTTCTTTATTGTACCTACATATAGAATAGATTTCGTATTTTATTTTCTATAATAGAATGATGTTTCTTTTATGATTTTATTAGTATAATGTTTGGGAATATATATTACTTGTCCCGGTGTTAGGATAACCAATATCTAGGAACAGTTTTTTAATTGGGAACACATTAATAATAATTCTATACTAGATATGTGCTTTTTTGTATATTAACAACAGCTGTTTAACATAATGCTTGAATTTTGCCTTTTTTATCGAAAAAACTATTTTCACTACAATTACATTAAATACACTATTAGTTACTGCGATTAACACTTTAACAACTATAAATAATAATCAATTTGTTCTTACACTACTCTAGTAGAGTAAAACTTAATAATAGTAAATGATGATTGTCTGGCTTGACTTTTCTGATAGAAATCACGATTTGTTAAAATTCTCTTTTAACAAAGTAATGACATTTGTTCTCTCTTCTCACTTTTTTTCTGCGAAATCACACTTTTTTTATATACCCCTTTTTTCAAGGGGCGGGTTGGGGCGTCGTTTGTTTTTTCTTATTCACAAAAATGTTTATTTAATTATATTTTTTTTCTCAATTTACTTCTGTGCGCTTCTGTTGCTTTCAGCTGTTTTGTTGAAACTATTTAAAATTATCAAATGATTTTTGTGTATATTTGCCTCCGACTTAAAATTTTTATTAACGTTAAATTAATTCTGCCTTCATTCCATAACAATCTAGAGTTTGTTGGTGGTTGTGTTGATGGAATTTGTTTTTTTTTCGTTCTCTTTCGCTTGACGTTTTGTGTTTTTTTTTTGTAACATATGTTTTCTGGTTTCGTTGGCAGGCATGGATAAATGAAATTTTTTAAACAATAAATAAAATAGTACTTTCTTTTAGACATTTTGTATTTTTATTGAAATTAATTTTCTTACGACCCTATAGGGTATATAGACATCTTCGGGATCCAAAACTTTAGTAATTCTATCATACACGCTTTCGAGAAGTTTCCTATTTAAAAATCAACAAACTCGGTCCATAAATAACAGAGATGTGAAAAAAACAACCCATGAAAATATTACGTTTTTTTTGTTAGAAACTATAGCAGCTATGAAGAAATCTTCTGAAAAGTCGTTTCTTTCTTCCAGGGAAAATTATTAGAATAGGTTCAAAATTTCATATAGAACCCATACAAATTTACATAATTCCGGAAAATAGATTTATTGTTAATAAATTCCTATAGAATATCGTTTTTACTACAAAATTTTACACCTACATACATATATAGACCACGGAATTCCATTATTCATAACTCCTAAATAACTCATGCATTAATAATGATATCGGGATAAAATTTGACTGTACTGGTCTGCACAAAACAAATCATTCTGTGAAAGTTTTTTTTCAATATCGGACCATAATTGGTCATAGCTCCCATATAAACCCCTCTTCTGAAAATCACTTAATGATAAATAACTCATTATTTTTTGATATCGGAATAAAATTAAACAAGAAAATGTTAAGTAGGTATATCGAGGGACTATATTCAATAGTATCTATCTAAAATAACACAAGTTTTCAGGAGAGCAAAAAAACTGTTTATTTAGCTAGTTCAACAATATATTTTAAGACCATATTCTAAATCGTTATATAAAAATAATTTAAAGTTTTGCATTATTTGCAGAATTATTCACAAATTTATATCAGATAGAGCTTTTTTCATAGAAATATAAATTTTTTATTTATTTTAATATCAATAAATATTATATTTTATGCAATTTAATGAAGTAATATAAACCAAATTGTTGAAAAAGCAACAGATTATAAGGTTTTGGTCCAAAAGCAATGTTATATGGTTAAACAGGGCAATATAATGAATCAAATTATTATCATAATGAGCGATATCTCGAAAACTATTAAACCGATTTCAAATATTTTTGCGGATTTGTGTTCAGCATGTCCAAATTAGTAAAAACACTTGTTTTGCAATAGAAAATTATCCTAAATAATAGAGTTTGAAGCAATTTTTGGATAAGATAGAGAGTTTTGCATTCAGAATTTTTCTTTTTATAAGAAGGAGAAATTTACAAATTGCTATAAAATTGCCAAAAAATAATTTTTTCTTTTGTAATTTATGCCACTGATGCGGGATAGTTTGCTGGATATTTTGCCATCAAAATCTTATTTTCATGAAAATGACAGATAGAGACTATTGAATATAGTCCCTCGATATACAAATAATTCTGTAAAATATTTTTCGGATCGGTCTATAATTGACCATAGCTCCCATATAAAGTCCACTTCCAAAATCACTTAACCCTAAATAACTCATGAATTAATAATGATATCGTGATATAATTCAAAACAAATATGATTTGTATATATGCAAATCACTCTGCGACACATTTTCTAAATTGGGCGGGCCATTATTTGCTTATTATCTTTCAAAATTTATAAAATGTAAATTTCTATAAATATTCGACCGTGCAATAATTTTGAAAAAAAGCGTTCACACATAGAAAAGTTGATACGCATGTGAAACTATATTTCCTTTATAACAATTCAGCGTACTCCGATTTATATAATCAGCTCTTATGTCCTTATAAAAGGGCTTCAAAGTTTAAAGGACTTACAATTACAAACTAATATATTAAATAGTTATACATACTGTAAGATGCTAATATTTGTATCAAATGAAAGCTGGGAATCTGTACATTCTATTTACATCTATTATTCATTTGACTCACTTAGACAAAAAATCGAAAAAGAAATTAAATTTAAAAAAATGTCACATTTTAATTTTTAACTACTTTTTTTGTGACAAATTTTCTTTAAGCTTCCATTTCTTTTTTAATTCTGATGAATTGAATTAAATAATATTATTTTGAAGCAGAGGTTCTCATCTTCACTTGATATTAATATTAATACTAAATTTTGTATATAAATTTGACGTTCCATATTTTCAAATCGTATGTGCTTCAAACTTTAAAGTCCTTTTATAGGAGCATAAGATCTGATTATGAAAAAGTGAGTACATAGAGTTATTACTAATGGTTTCCTGTACACATAGATTTTTTCATGTGTGAAAATGATTGTTGCACGGTGTTAAATTGTTTAAATTTATCTTCGATGTTGTTCTTAAGTTCTCAATGATTAAAAAATGCTTCCATAGGGTTTAAAACCTCAACAAACCTTATTAAAGAAATAAAAACTGCTTTTAAATATATAACATTTATTTAATGTTTTTTTATTATTTTATTAAACGCCTTTTAAAAATTTAGTTTTGTATGTTTTTTTTATTTATTTTTGCTTAACTCATTACCAGATCTCTTAGGTCCAATTTTGGTTTTTGTATACCAGTCTTTTTTTATAATTTCCACATTCAATTTTTGTTTTACCAATTGTTGTTTAAAAATTTTATTTTTTTTTTTATTATTTAAAATTAAATATTAAATTTTTTATTAAAAAACAATAATTAATATTTTAAGATAAACAAATAAGTTGTCTTTTAAAACATCAATAAATAAAAATACGTATTTTATATTATTTTTTCATTATTAAGATGAAAAATGTGTTTTTTTCGATTTTATTCAAATCACTTAAAATTACATTTAGATTTTTTTAATGAATGATCATTATTATATTATTAATTATGTATTATGCATTTTTTATATATATTCATGTAGGTTGAATTATGTGTTGTTACATAGTTCATGCATGCATGTAGGTCTTTTCTGATACAGTTTAAATGATGTATTTCCGAATAGGCCTACGAGTAAGTGTTGCCGAAAAAATATTTTAAACAGAATTTAATAGATTTACTTCATTTGATTTTACATTTATTTTTAGGTCTTGAGCTACTCTTTTTTTATAAGAAACAAATAAAAGATTATACTCGGACCGAATTCTACGAAATTTTTATCTTTATTGATTTGCCGATTTTATGAAGGATGTCTTATAAGAATCCTTTAAACAATTGTGTACAGGGTAACACCCTTGCAGGAATGGTTTAGGTTTGAAAAACTGTACTATGTTTTCTGACGGATACAAGTTGGAATCAGGTACTGGTGTGTATTTTTTAGAACGTGTCCCCCAAAGGTCCTACCGACTTTCTAACGTCTTTCACGTTAAGATATTCTTGAAGATCAATATATGTTTTAAAAACCCTCGGAATCAATCGCTCCCATTCTGAATTTAAATTCAAATTGAAATTTTCTCCGTTTAGGAAATTTGATATTCTGCATTTCGATTCGAAGCTCCGTCAATATAACAACAACTTACAAAAACATAAGTACGATCGTAATGCAAAATACACATAATCGCAAATCATTGAAATGAAAAGGAATTTCTTTTTCTTACAATTAAGTTTTTTATTGGAATAGCTTTTCTAGATCATTGCGTAACTGAATGCAGAAACGTAATTAAAATGCAGAATTGAATAATGTCATTAATAAGGCTGAAATCACCAGATAAGCAACACTCAAATGAACTGCATACATGTTTTTAAGATGTGCTAAGTATCAGGACACTTTAATATTCAAAGCAATGAGATCGTGATCGAAATGGCAAGACTTTATAGTTCCGAGACTTGACTTAAAGTAACTACATGGTATATTAGGAGGAACAGACAAATACTTGTTGTAAGCTAAGCATTAAAGCTACCAAAATGGGGCCGAATTATAGTGATCGAGTAAAATTTATCGTAATTTTTCTTTTTTTAATGAGGGGATTCTATAACGAAGAACAAATATAGAACTTTTTAGCAGAGTAAGGAGAGCGTTCAAATTGATTTCTCTCTAGAGAGATATTAATTCGAGCGAAATAAATTATTTACTTTATTGTGAATATCTCACGAGCGGAAAATACATTTCTCTTATTAACAAGTACAAATGAATTTATCGGGAGTTTTATAATATTGTATAATAAAGCATGTACACACACGCTCATCTTTTTTCGTTTTTTACGACCTCACACACATACACATTTTATTTCATAATTTTTTTGTTTTTTACACCGCCGTAAAACCGGTTTTGCCGCACACATTTTTTGTATGTGAGTTTTACTCAAATTCTATTAATTTTGATATCTCTCGTGAGATGAATTAAAAAAATCAAAATACATAGATATCGCTCATGAAGTGAACATAAAAAATTAAGAGTTGAAATAAAAATACTTCTCGCGAGTTTAAAAATAATTCTCGTGAAAATGAGCTGTATAACGAGCGAAATAAATAAGATAATATTCACGAGTGCAAAAATTATTTACTCTGCTTTTTAGCTCAATTTCGATATAGTAAAGTTAGCGGTAATTCCCTGGACCCCTGGTTTCTGTATGAT